CCGAAAGCGCTTGTATTGGATGGCGATTTGTCAATAAAGGACTTTTTGCTTCAAAACTTTTGGTGTGCTGGTGACAATCCTTACTAGCTCTTAACCACTTGAAGACCCGGTGTTTAGACCCCCCTTCCTGGCCAGGCTATTCAGTTTTTTTGCTATATTAAGGAAAAATTATTGAAAATATTGAAAAAAAAAGTGTTTTTAAATTGTTAGGAAACAATTATTATTACCCATATTTTTAGTAAAATATACAAGACGGGGTCACGTCGGGTAAAATAGACACCAAACATGCCACGCTTTAAAATTGCGCGCACCCGCGAAATCGCAAAAAACGACTACCATACCCAAAATTATTCAGGGGGCTCCAAGACCCCTATTGTCACCTAGGACCCCCCTGAAGAAGCCGATAAAGCAGAGATCTGCTTCATCAGCTTCTTGCAACATCTCAAGCTGTGCAGCGACACAAGAATGCGGAAGTGATGTAATCTACACCACTTCCGCATTCTGACAGCGGAGAGGGGACTGGAGGGAGGTTGTGTACCGACCGACCTCTGATCCCCTGTCAGAGAAGCACTATGCTCCGCTGTGCCCAGTGCGAGCCCGGGACCAGTGTGACAGCGGGAGGGGGGCGCACATACCGGGACCTCATACAATCCGCCGGCTCTATAGCTGGCGGATCACTTGTATGTTAACAGGCATCGCTGCCTGTTTGTAAATTTTAGGACTTTCTCGCGTGAGGGGGCGTGTCTGAGCGGATGTCTAAAGACGGCCGGCCGGGAAGTGGTTAAAGAAAACCCCATCAACACAGACACCACGCCCCTTCAAAATCTACATTTGTCAACTTTGTACTCGAGGGGGATGAACCGAAATGGAAATTTCTAAATTGAAAAAAAAAATTGTCAGGCCCAGAACTGAAAATTTTACATTTTTAATTTTTCCAATTTTTTTTCCAATTTTTTTTTCAATTTCTTTATATTAAATTTTTTTATTTTTATTCATTTTTTATATTAAATTTATGTTTTACTTTTAGGGGCTTCGGGGAAATATTAGGGGTCTAAACAGACCACTGATTTTTCCCTTTTTAAATAGAAAAAGAGATTGAGGCTGCAGAGTCCTCAATCTCTTTTTCTGCAGCCCCTGTTATAAATGAACAGGAATCCACTATACTGACTGCTCCTGCTCATTCATAACATGGCAGTGTTTGCTATAACCTCAATCATGAATGAACAGGAGGTGATGTAAATCACTTTCCATTCATTCATAATAACCATACCATATAACCAATATATACCATATAACCAATAACCATAGTAACCATTCTATGTCCTCAATTATGTACAAAACACTCAGCGATCGCCGAGTGCTTGTACCTCACTCTCCTTCCTGACAGCTGGAGGCTGGGCGAGCGATGCAGGGAGGAGAGCTCAGCCTCCTGTGACAGCGCTGGCTGTCTCCGACCACACACCGCTCTGCCGGACAGTGACAGGAGGCTGAGAGGTATGCGAGGAGAGACTCCGGCCGCACGCAGCGCTCGGCCGCCTGTGACACTTTATCTCCTCCCAGCTAAGGACACAGAGCAGCGCCCAGCGGGGAGGAAAGAAATCAGGGATGTGCCGCTGTATCGGCAGAAACATTGCACTTTTGGCATTTAGCCAAAAGTGCCATTTTTGGCTGATATATCGGTGCATCCCTAATCTAAATAAATTTTCCAGTGGAAGAGATGGATGAGCTCATGAAAGCAATGCACACCACTGAACAAATATAGCAACGAGTACAAACAGAGTGCTGAAAAGACACAAGCCTTCCTAGTCCATCAGTCTATGAAGAGCATCATTCTCCAAGAATGAAGGGAACCAACAATGTGGCTTTTTTTGTTCTAAAATCACTCAAAAGGAGATTTATGGCCAGCATGAGTAAAGATTTTGGGAGGCACAGCTGACATTTGAGTTCCCCGATGTGAGATGTAGGTTTGGAAATAAAAAGCCTTCTTGGAAGAGCAACCAGAAGAACCAGTAAACTGACAGAGAACTAGCAAGGAAGGAATGGGCTTTCAGGAAAGGAAAAGGCAAAAGAAGATAGTTATTCAGTCCTTCAGATACAGTGGCCAAAACTCAACTCCCCAAAGAGGGTTGGGGAAAAATGATGGGTCTTCTTCCCTTGTGAGGAGAGCAATGCTCCAACTGATTCACCAGATTATCATTAAAGAGGGGTACAAACTCAAACGCTCTCATCCAGCTCCCAAAGATTTTTTTATAACACCCTACTATTAAACCTGATTAATGTAAACTGCAATGACAGACACTTGGAGAAATTCTCCAGCAGCATGTAACTGCACGTGTCCCCATAGATCAGAGGGGGTAAAGGGGTATTTTTCTGCACAAGAAAAAAACTTTGGGTGTTGGCAGGGAAGAAGACAGACGATCGTCTGTTCTGAAATGGGACCCGAATTGCATCACTTTCGGTGCCTCTGCTGTCATTGCTCAGCTGCACAAGCTATTGGAGTGCGATCCGCGCTCCAATACCTTATTTGGAGTGGAAAGGTGACACTTGGGGTCTAATTTACCCCTAATGTCACCTTAATGAGTACCTGTCACCACTAATATGCTATCACACGGAGGGGCTTGTAAGCCCCCCTACTTGATAGCAATTAAGTAAAAAGAATGCAAAATATATGTGTGCATGTATTAACATAAACACATGTCAGGTGCACCTACATGCGAAAATGACAATCATACTACTAGGTATCGCCACGTGCGCAATAAATGTGAAAGCAATAATCCAGGGGCAAATATTCATGGATATCACTAAACTGCCAACCTGTATGGGCTTTTAAAATTTCGCCCATGAACAATTTGGGGTACCGTATTTTTTGCTGTAAAATGGACGCATGCAATTACGAACGTGGGCATGTTGGGTATCTATTTACTCATTGTAACCTTATTTTTTTTATATTTGATTAAAAAATGGGTATTGTGTTTTTGGGCACTAAAATTAGCTTGCATGCATTTTTTTTTACATTTTTCGGTTGGCTAAAGAGCTGCTCTTCAATAGCTTATTTCTAGTGTAAAGGTGAAACTGGGGGTCTTTTGGAGAGCAATAATTCTAGGGCCAGTATTTTGGGGTATCTCTAAATTGATGGCCTGTGGGGGCTTTTAAAGTGTCGTCTATGGACTTTTTGGGGTACTGAAGTTTGTCGCCATTTCACGGACGCACACTGTTTTTAACCTGGGCATGTTGGGTATCTACCGTATTTTGCGGTCCATAAGACGCACCGGACCATAGGACGCAGGGAGGTCCGGCGCGCCTTATGGAGCACTCGACTGACAGAAGCTGTGACAGAAGCTGCAGTTAGTGACCGCTGAGACAGGTGGCGCTGTGATTATAGCGCCACGGTCTCAGTGATCACACAGAGCAGACGAAGAAAGTCCGTTCTTCGTCTGCTCTATGGTGATCTCGATCGTCGCAGCTGCTCGGTTTTAATACGAGTGATCTCATTAGATCACTCGTATTGAACGAGCAGTGGCTCCTACTGCTGAACGTGATCGCCGCCGCCGCTGCTCGGCTTTAATACGAGTGATCTCATTAGATCACTCATATTAAACGAGCAGTGGCTCCTACTACTCGCCCGGCGCCCGAAACTGCATGTCTCGGGCGTCGGGATTCGCTCCATAAGACGCAGGCACATTTTCCCCCTCCTTTTGGGGGGAAAAAAAGTGCGTCTTATGGAGCGAAAAATACGGTATTTACTGGGTGTAACCTCATCTTTTATATTTTATTTTAAAAAATGGGTATTTCAGGGCATTTAAGTACATTTTACAATAAGTTTTGGGGTTTGATAAGGAGTTGCGCTAATATTGTGCAACATAAAAATTTGCAGCTGCTAACATTTTATTCTAGAGGGACTTGGCTTTTAGAAAATATATAATGTTTGGGGGTTTTAAGTAATTTTCAGGCCTAAAATGTGGAATATTAACATGGGTGCAAAAAAAAGAAAAAGGCCTCAGTCATGAAGGGGTTCTGCCTCTAGTTCAGCTTTAACGTTCTGTGCTTATCATAATTATGTGGAGTGTTACAGTCATAGTTCTAAGTAATATACACTGCCTCAGTTTCCACTTAATATCTCTAGTTTATGCTTGATTTGACCTTTGGTATTCATTGTAGTGAATATTAACCACACCCAGATAATTTCCTTTTCATATGTAGTGGTAATGTGAACAGACTCCTGGATCTACTGCTTATACCCTGGAGTCCGTTCACATTACCACTTTGCACTAAAGGGCTCATGTTAATGCAACATGCACAATTCATTAGTTGAGTTAGTGTCGAGTTAGTGTGTTGTGGTGCTATTTTTTACATTTTGTTTGTGCTTTGCTTTACAACCTTTTAATTTTGAACGGGTTGCCTTAATGCAGTATGCCACAATGTGCCTCGATGCATGAAAATGCAGGTGCTCTAGTACACTGCATTTGGTCTGAATAGGCCATTCATTTTTGGAAAATGCTGAGGAAGTATGGCAGAACAGGTCTTTAACCTTTTTACTGCCACCAACGTAACTGCTACATTGGTGGTAGTAGCGTCATGTAAACAAACCCACAGCTGCAATAGCAGTTTTGAGGTTTGCTTTTTTTTTTTTTTAGAGCATACTGCCCTCTGTTCGCTTCTATGGTGCTATTTTTCTGTGGCCCCTACCTGTCTGAGCACCACCTTCCTTGGGCCCTGGGCTCACCTGCTTCTCCTGGGTGCCTGGGACCAGAAAAATAAATGTGTATGGCGGCCAGGGGGAGATGGAGGTAGTACAAATATTGTGTGACAAAAAATAAATGCCACCATTTTTTTCTACTTCATGCTTCCAGAATAATGTTTACTGACCAAAACACTCCTGTTACATTTGTTAGGCAATGACAGCCTGTTGAAGTTGCACCGTCATGGAAGATTCTAAGATGGCTAGTGGTAAGTGTAATTCTGGGCTTTATTTTTACTTTTCAAACATTTTTATTTTTCAGGAGGCAGAGATAAACGAGGGGGCCCAATTTTAACCTTTCCATCACGAACCAATCATGACAGAATAAGGCAAGAGGATCTCAGAAGACTTATATCATACCTGGCTTGCATACCTAGGTTAGTTTTTTTCTTTTTATTAAATAACAGCTAATGTTTCTCTAATAATTACCATTTATTTATGAAATTTGTAGTCTGTGTGAGTGGAAAACAAAAATCAGGTGTAGTAACTCTTGGCCTGATGACTGTTGAGGGGAAAATCCAAAATTTTAAAGTTTCCTCCAGAACAAGGAGGAAGGATTAAATCTTCCAGTGGGAATTCATTTTACCTTCTGCATAGAACTGCATATTTTGCTACTGTGGGATGTGCTTTCATCAGATTAAACCACATTGTTGTGCCTACAAACCTGTCTTGCCCGCTGATCTACTGACATGAGTACATGGAATCCCTGACCTAGAACAAGTGCTGTATGCAGGTCTGTATGATGATCCAACTTAGTCAGGTGCTCCAGACTGAAGCAAGGGACAACCAGGATTCTAGCATTTTCAGGGGGTGAGCAATCCCTTTCTTCATTTCTCGCGCTGTGCATATTTCTTTTAAACTTGGTTCAGTGGTGTGAGGATGTTGCTGCATGTGCATCCTCTCAGGGGAGTGCTGGATGTTCAGTTTTTATTCCCTTACTAAGGTGTCTTCAGTTGTTTATGTTTTTGACTGCCATTCTTGTGATGTAAGATACTTTGCTGCTTCCTGAGTCAGCTCCCTGCTTACTACACAGAAGTGGTGATGTTGATTAAATATCCAATGAGAAGGCAGGAGGCAGTGATGTGACATAGAAAATGGTATTGCTGAATCAGTGATTTGCACACGTTTGGTATCACTGCACACGCTGGATTGAGAGCAATAATTCTAGGGTTATTCTATGGTTAAAAGTCTGTAAAGTCATCACTTTCAGGTAAAGTGTTGCATAAAGACAATTTGGGGTACTGAAGTTTTTCATAGTTTTTCTAGACGTACACAATTTAGAGGCTTGACATGCTAGGTGTCTTTGCACTCTATTTACTTACTGTGTTCATGTGCACTAAAAATTAATTTGAATGCATTTTTTTTTACAGAAAATGTGGGTTTGATAAATTGTTACACTTATACTGTGTGACAAAAAATTACAACTGCCAGAAAAACTATACATTTAGGGGGCCATGAGCAATTTTCAGCACACAAATGTGAATTTTAATGTGTAAAATAAAAAAAAAAACTAATTTGCAAAAATGGTTCTGTCAGCAAAAAGTTTAAAGCTGAACATCATGTTCGAGAAAGTTAACCTTGCAGGGAGGGCCCCTTGGCACTGCGAGGGCTAAATTCTCATTTTGTCCAGGGGATAGTAATAAAGTTATATACTTTATTCCTGGTATAGCCTGAAAGCCTGGTATAACTTGAGAGAAAAGAGGGCACATGACAGCCTATGCTTTTTTTCATATTTCTTTGCACTAGCCGGTGAGTCAGGTGGAGCCAGCCTATTACAGTAGTAGTGTCCACTGCCACAGACATCATGCCTATCTAATCCAGGTTTAACACCCTCTTTAGCTCAGGGGGCATAAACATGATGCTCAGGGGGTCTTATGGGAGGCTAGGGGAAGGGGGAGAAATAAAAAAATAAGAGCAACGCCGTTTCCCACCAAGCAGCAGAAGCAGTATGGGCAGAAACAGGTGAGGCCAGGTTCACACGTAGGCGATCCGTGACCACGTGGCAATGTGGCAAGAAACCGCTCACGGAAACGCACACCACCACAGATGGCGGTGCCATTATTTTCTAATGGCACCCTAGTCGCCCCAGGCAGATTGCGTGACCTCCCAACGCGATTCCGCCCATGCAATCATGCAAGATTGCGGTTTAAAAACCTGTGAGACAAGCGCTGTGTGCATCTGCACACAGGACGCATGTCCCGGGATCGCCGAAGTCTGCACCAGCCCTGAGGTACGTTCCCAGCAACGTGCAGATGTGAACCAGGCCTTAAGTAGCAACCATCTGGCTGTGCAGCGTGGAAAATGTGTGAATATTACAACATTGGCTGTACAGAATAAAAAATCATTTGGCAAGAATAAATGTAAAACTTTTTATATACTTTAAAAGAGAAGTATGGGCCAACCTTTTTCGGCCATAGCTCTCACAGGTAAACATATACTAATGTCCTCCGGTGACCCTGATTCAGGCAGCTGAATCCTCCTTTGCTGATTGACAGCAGCCAGTGGGCGGGTGCAAGCACCAGCCTGCTTTTGGCTTTTGCAATTTAAAATAGCCTATAGCAGGCTGGCTATTGCTCCCAGCCGCTGGATTGGAGACTTAACACGGGCTTTCTACCACTGGCAGAAAAGGGGGCACTAGGGCAGCAGCGTAGACACGGGAGCAGCAGCATGGGAATGCAGAGGCACAGCGGTCTCTACTTCCCGCTGGGTGCCGCCTCCAGCGCTCGGCTCAACTAACCGATTCGACTAATCTATAATGAGTATCCCTGACGATTCTAATTATCGATTATCAATTAAAATTAATTGTTGCATCCCTAGTTGGTAGTATTTTCTTATTTAGATCTGCAACTTGAGACTAAGACTTCCCATATTAATGTACCAAGAACATTTAATATCTCCTGATTTTTTTTATTGGTTTGTATTCAGGGGGGGTAATTATCTCTATCTCTTTGCCTTTTCTCTGGGAGGATTCTCCTTACTGATCTAGCCACTTTCCTATCCCTGGAGTCTAGTTCATTGTAACAATCTGTTTACCCAAGTTTGAGGAAACCCTCTGTTGGTCCGTTCTTTAACCACTTGCTGTCTGACCGTTGTAATTAAATGGTCGGACAGCGGCTTCTTGAATGTGGGTGGGCGGTTT